CTAGTTCCCTGCTTCCCTACAAGAAGAATTGCTTTTGAAATTGCTTTTTTGGAAATCTTTTTGGAATTTAAGAAAATTGAGATACTTAATGGATAAAACAAAACAATTTTTTCACATTAGTAAAAATATGGGCTTCATAGCTAAATTTGTTTTGTTCATAATGAAATAGAGGCAATTTTGCACCCATGTCAGTACGTGTCATACCTATTACACAGTTTCTATGAATAGAATTTGATAAAATTTAGATACCAGTCTTTTTTACATTTGAAATCTGAAAACGTATAGGGTTTCCATTTGTTGATCAGTTTTCAGAAATCCACTTTCGGGAAAGTGAACTACAAGCAGTACATGATTTAGATTCTGGAAAAGGGATGAAGGCTGAGATGAAGAAAGAAGCTCAAGCACTCATCTCTCACCTAATCCAATTAAAGATCTGTGTAGTCACACTGTGTGATAAGTAATTGGCTGAAATATAAAGCAATAGAATATCTAATCTTCCACATACTTCAGAGTAGACAGAAATGCATGAAATGAGTGTTCTATGTGATAAAATTTGATTTTAAGATGTTTATAAAAACTTCTGTATAATTTGGTTTCTAATATCCTGTCTAACTTTGTGGTTCTCTATGTTGCAACAATGTGTACTCTTGTGACAATTCCTTTAAGGAGCTAACTTCCTTCCAGATTTGTCTCACTCATATAGAGTTACCTGAACTTGTTGAAACATTCAATTTGTCTTAATGGACAAGATTCTTAATGAATAAAATTAGGAAATGTTTTCTGATACATAGGACAAATAAAGAAAAAAAAAAGACTGTTTGATAGCTTGGATAAGAAATAAACTCATAGTAAGAGCCTGGAATGTTATTTGAACTGTGTGAGAGTTGGAAGAAAAAAATTAACAGAGAATGGTAAAGAATGAAAAGGAAAGTACTCAGTATTTGGTAGGTACTTGAAACTTCCAGATACTGGTAGATACAAAGAGCTTTAAGACAAAATGGCAAATAGTTGAATTGCTGGTAAGAAAAGAAATTTTTATCCAACTAATTTCGACTTAGACTTGTATACAGTGGAATGCAAACTGGTGGTAAAACCATAAGAAGGCGCTCAGGCAAAGCTCAGGGAAGAGAAAAGCTGAGTCCACAGAGCTGTTAGTGACAGACTGTCTTAACAATAATTTTCCATCATGTCCCCAGGCTCTCTTCAGGACAAGAAAATGCCAGTTTGTGTAAGCTATATGGAAACAAAATGGTAAAAAGTTTTCATTGATGCTAAGTGCCCCATAAATATGAAATTGAAGATCTCTAGAAAATTTATTTCAGCTCAGCTGTCGCTCTTTCAGATAGAGTTCTTTACATAATAAAAAACAGATTTCTTAAATGACTTCAGGGTGTTAAAGAACAAAAATTAACCAAGTAGATATGAAGATCTAATGGGCTTTATCAAGCAATTCATGAATTTGGCAGCATCCCATCTAGAAAATAGAGGAGAGCTCCAAGAAATTGTACAAAATGGAAGGTTTTTATAGGAAGGAGGGTGGAACAAGAAAGTCGTTAGCAAATGAAAAGAAAGGATTGTTTCAGGTAAGGTCACCTTTCCTTAGGTTTAAGGGCAGGAGGTCTTATTAGGTGAACTGTCTGCCACTGGGGAATGTGGAGGGCCCAGGTGACAGATCACCTCACTGGTGCTTATCAAGAAGTTCCTGACTAACCAGTTAAGATTTACATTTCTGCGGGGAGGTTGAAATTGCAATTAGTTAGGTATTAAGCCCCAGTTTAGTGACTTGGCCTAAGTGATGCCATTTTGGGCCTGTGGTTTTCTTTTTAACAAGGGAAATAGGGATTGATACAAGGATATATGTTTCTGAGTACTTAGGAGAACTTGAACTAGACCTAGAAAGGACTTTGCTGTAGAGCTCAGGCATCCTCTCTCACCTCTCCTGCTCCCAGTCTTGCTCTTACTTTCATTCTTTCCCTGACCCCAGGAGGCCTCACGTTCTGTTCTCTTTCATTTATTCTTTTCACCATTCTCTCTCACCTGGCTTTCTGCACATAATCATCTTGCACACACCACTGCAGCTGCCAGACCTTTCTTCTCTCAGCTTTTTAGTTAAGAGTTTGGCACTTCCTGTATACTTTTTCTATAGCTCTTAGTTCAAGTTCCAAAAAAGAAATCTGACTGTAGATTAGCCAAAAAATTAATCAGTGTTCATTCCAATGCAAAAACAGGCAACTTTCCTCAACAATCAGAATAAGAAGGGAACACTGAATGTGCTTGAGTGCCAGGGTATGAGGTAATAAGGGATAACAATTATACAGCAACGTTTCATTGTTAAAACTGAAATTTCAACACACAGCAAAGCTTTATTTTGGTGTGAAATACAGAATATGTGTTAGAAGGGAGCACAAAAGAATATTTAAACGTCTGTACTTTGAAGTCAGACCACATAATTTGAATCAGAGCTCCACAAACCATACTCACCCTCCCAAACCTGTGAAATGGCCATTGAAAGGGAGTGGAATTTGTCATCCCCAAAATAAGCTTCTTTGGCATAAGGATTATTTAGGCTGTTTTTTTCAGTTTGTTGGTTTTGTTTTTGGGGTGTTTTGTTTTGTTTTGTTTGCCAAGTTAGAAAGATAGAACATATTTTATTTAATATTTCATTGGCTTGATTTATAACTATTTATTTATTTAAATTTATTTAATTTTATTTAATTGACATGTAGCTGATAATTTTACCTCAGTTTCAGGTAGAACACAGTGATTGATCATTATGCTCACCACCGTGTGCTACCTGTCATTTCTCACCATACACCATACAACACCATTAACTATATTCCCTATGCTGCACCTTTTATCCCCCTGACTTATTCATTCCATAACTGAAAGTCTGAATCTCCTACTTAGGGTGATTATTTTTTTTAAAAATGACAGACCCAGGAAAAGCTTTGAAAGTGAAGTTACCCTTTCTTAAGGGACATTTACTTTATGTCTATCCAGGTTTCTTCCTCTCTGTAGCAGAAAGAGGAGAATAACTAAATCTCTAGAAATTTTTTTTTTTTTTTTTTTTTATCAACGGAGAAGGCAAGGACTTAAATTTGCAACCTAATCCTTGTTTACTGTCTTTTCCCAATAGCTTCCCATAACTGGCTCACCCACCCCCCAACATTATCTTTTGTCTTTAGAGATGTTTAAGGTGGTGGCTTGGGCCATTTCAGTTTATTCAGTTTTTCAGTTTTATTCAGTTTTCCTAGGTATCCCCCAGGTATACAGAAGGTATACATGTGATTAAACTTCTGTTTGTTTTTTTCCTGTTAATCTTTTTATTACAGAGTTGTCTCAGCCAAGAACCTAAAAGGGTAGAGGGAAAATTATTTTTTTTTCTCCTACACCATTGTCAGGAAGGAAGAATTTTATTGGTCCTTCAAGGTCCTTCTAGGCGGAATAAAAATTAAATTGACATGAGACAGATTAATGGGAGAAAATCAAATTAATTTTGTACATATGGGTGATCCACAGGCATGGAAATTCCAAAGACAGTCAGGCAAAATGAGGTATATGTGTCATTCCGAACAAGGAGAAGGGAGTGGGGGTCTGGGACTTCAAAAGAAAGGAATGCAATTTACCGGAAGATAAAAAAAGAGCAAATGTTTGGTAAACAAATGTTTGCAGGATTATCAGAAACAATGAGACCCAGTAGACTTTGATTCAACAGGTCTTGCTAGGTTCTTCTCTACCATGCCTATTCATGTTGTAATGTAGTTATTTCTAGCAATAGCTCTATTCCTGGAGCAGGTCTTCTATCTAAATTCTTTTAGGCGATTGTATTGGAGGTAAATAGCCTTTTCTGAATCAGCTGGGTTTTGATTGCTTTTAACTAAAAAGTAATCTTCATGCCAAAGTAGGCCATCTTGGGTGGGCTGCCCTGGGCACATACATCATAGAGGACCTTCTTCATAAGCTAATTGTGAGAATTAGATAAGGTAATTTATGTACTAGACACCTAATAGTTATTCAATAAATATTAAAAACACAGAAGAAAAGTTACCCCTTACCCACAGATCAAAGAAATGAAGCAAAAAAAGTTGAAGGCACAAAGACAATCATTTTGAAATGGAAAAAACAAGAAACTGATGGATTTTCTGATCAAATGACTTAGGCCTTCATGGCATAGTAGATTATGACATGCTGGGAAAGCTCTAGTGATCTTAGTCTGATATGACCATAATTCCATTATGAAAATACTAAAGGTTAATCTCAATGACAGCAGCCTACAGCAGAGCAAACGGACATATTTAAGTATTTATAAATCAGGTGAAATGTTAATATCATCATCAAACAATAAATAGTAACAAATACAATAGTTAACATTTTTTGAAGGTTTGCTATGTGTGGAGCCTGTCTCAAGCACTTCACATACGTTATATGTATACATATATTTATACGTATTAATCCATTTACTACTTAACTTATATCAAACTTAGGAACTTTGATTATCATTATTTTAGGGAAAAAGAAACAGAGGCACAGAGAGTTTAAATAATTGACCAAAGTTGCAAAACTAGCAACTAGCTGAGATGCAGGGTTCACAGCCCGACATGCTGCAACAGAAAATGCAGTACATGGCCTCTCTAATCATAGGAAACTTCAGTAGCCCCCAGATTTTTTCATAAGTATACCGATAATGTGGATAAAATAATTTGAAGAAAAAACAAACTGGAAAAAAAAGTTTATTTTATTAAGTAACATGTAAAAATACTATATATATTGCTTTAGAAATATATAACTATGGGGGAAAAAGTGTTTCGTTTTTTTAACTGATTACAAAAGGAATCCTAGAAAGTAAAAGAAAGAGTTCTTCGAGGAGAGTAATTGTGAATTCTTAGTGTAAGCTGTTTCCTTTGTTTAGTCCATAAAAGAAAAGCCTTTCAAAGAGTTTGGCAAAATTAGCCTAAATACTGTTGGAGTGACCTAAACAGGAAGCCAGTGATCTCTGAAAGCAGCTCTGAGGCTCCCCCTTTGCTCCAATAGACAGGAGCGACTTTGGGCTGTATAATCGTCAAATTCTTACCTCGCCCTTTCACTGCTGGCAGGATCAGATTACATTTCTTTCACTATTCTCCACTCCCCAGTTCCTTGATCTGTTTAAAAGAAGTAGAAAAGATAATCCTCTCTTCAACGCCTGGAAGGGAAAACAAAATAACCTCAACTCGGCTTTGAAAAAAATCTTTCCAAGAACTTTCTTCAGAGATTTTACTCGTGAGTATTTGGCAATATACTTTCTAGCCCATGAGAAATAACCTTTATTTCTTTTTTATTGGGAGAAAAGCAGGGTCCTGAGAGGCAAAGCCTGGTAGGGGAGGACCATCGTCGTTTAACCTACAATGAAAATTGACCCTTCTCTGTAAACAATGTAAACTCATATTGCAATGCAAAATTAAGTTCTCAGCACTTTGTCTTCTTAAGCAAATATATATGCAGTATATCTTGATGCTTTTAAATCCTTGAACATTTTTGTCAGAAGTTGGTGAGATGTAGCCTATCTTAAATTTTTCAGCTTGTAGTGGCAATTCTTTACTTATTGTATCTCTTTAATTGGAATTTCCTGAAGATTTGGTTTACTTTTAAATATTATTTATTAACACGCAAAGAAATATGATCAGGAGACTCTCTAGCATGTTTAAAGAAATTTTTTTTCATTGCTTTTAATTGTTGATAGTTAGAATGAAGTATAAACATTAGAATTCTTATACTCTAAATTAAATATTTTATGCCTACAGTAACTAATCTGTCTAAGGAAATGCTTTACAAGTCTTTGAAGACCAGAGCTCATATCCTAAGATACTTAAATAAGAATATGTAAGAATAAGAATTGCACTACAGATGGTGCCATTATGTTAATTAAAGCAATAGATCACATACCTACATGATGTACTGTCATGTTCATGTTGGTTATGAAACGACATTAAAATTTGCTTCTGGTAGTAAATAAAAGCACATAATATAGAAGTACACAACCACAGAACTATAATGAGACAAAGTTATTTTAATTATGGAGAAAGCTCATTTGTGTATTACCAAAAAATGAAGGCCAAGAGCAGTGCCATGTAGGAAAAAAAGAAAAGATAAGCAACAGCCACACTGAGTCACAGTGCTCTGGAAATTAGTCACAAAATGACTTTGTAAATTGTGTGATAAACACAAAGGGCAGAACCCAAGCAGGAAACATACAGCCCAGAGAGTCATATTTTATGTGTAAAAGCATAATATTTACGTCAGAAGGGAAACGTGTCAATTTTGAGATATTGCAAAGTTTTTAAACCTAACAAAATCCTTTCCTAAACATTTTTAGATTTTTTCTAATTCATCATTCTACTGATAATTATTTCAAGACATATTATCTGTATCTCATCTTATCTTTAAACTAAAAAGTGAATAATGTCTTTGAAAATGTGTTGGGAGTATGCAATTTAATTTGAAGACTATGGGTTAATAAAAATGATATAAAATATTCATAGGGATCAACAGAGATTAAAAATATTAATGTACATACAGATAATTAACATTATAGACATAAAACCAAAACTTTAAAATACTTTTAACAATTTGAATAGTTATACTGGGAAACCAAATTTGTCTTTAGGTGACTGACCATAGAATCTTGTTGGAGAATTTTAATGACATACCCATTACTATTTGGTTCCTCTTTCTATAGGTGTGCTGAATGGCACAAATTTTGTTTTGTTTTGTTTTTTTTAAAGGTATAGTCTGATATATTTAAGAATTTGTTTTACCTCCAATGACTAGATCAACATCCCTCTGGGAAATGTGGCTCCTGTCCAAATGAATTATGCCCTCAGTTAGTGCTTGCTGGTCTGATTGACTGTCTGTAACTCTAGGGCTTCACTTGCATGTTGGTCATACAACTATTTTGACTAGAAGCTTCTTTTATAAACATTTTTGCTAAATTAAAAGATAAAATTATGTAGTGGAAAATTGTTTTTGTATTAAATTACAGTTTTCATAACATTAATTTACTCTTTTCTTCAGAATTAATTTCCTGATCTTTGTTATCTGTATTATTCAAATTCAAAAGATAATTGGACAAGATGACTAACTACTGGAAGAAAAGACCAAGTTCCAAAGGCTTTACTTATTCCCAGAATACATAGCAACTAACCAAATAGTAAATGTGCTATATTTATATATTCTTCAGAAATGGTTGGTTTAAGTTCAGTGTCACAAACTTTTAAGACAGATTTCACCTCCTATCACTACCTAATTAGCAGAAAAAAAAATGCAAAGTAAAAAAGTAAAGGGCAGGAAAGACAATATGAAAAAGGAAGGGAAGTACCTAGAACAGAGTTTTCAAAAATATTTATTAGTATACATTGGATAAGTTGAATGATAATATTGGTTAAAATAAATTAATTGTATTACCAATTTATTTTTGCTATGTAGACATGATCGAAGACCTGTACTATTATCTAATTCACCTATTTCAATAAAGGCTGTCTCCAGCCCCCTCCCTTTTCTGTTTTCCATCTAAAATATTTAACTTGGGAAATTAGTTTACAAAAATATTCTTAAATGCATTTTACTTTTTATAGAAATATACCAATACTATAATTCCTTCTGATTGTTTTGTGCTTTGGAGAAATCTGAATTCAAGAAATCGAGTAACTAATGAAGTCCTTGATTCTGAATATTAAATCTCAACAAAATGAAGAAAAGGTACAAGTTATTCCAGAAAGTTCGTTCATGCTAGACCATCTCTATTGGGTCTCTGAGATCCTCAATGACCGGTTTCTTGGTGTGATATATCATTTCCAGGAGCCCAGTCTTCCCATTACTCTTCTTTCCTTGTTTTTACTTCCTTCTCCAAGTGGCAAGTATCATGTAGAACCAGAGCTTAAGATTCAACTACCAAGGGGCACCTGGGTGGCTCAGTCTGTTAAGTGGCTGCCTTCAGCTCAGGGCATGATCTCAGGATCCTGGGACTGAGCCCCGCATTGGGCTCTCTGCTCAGTCAACAGTCTGCTTCTCCCTCTCCCTCTGTTATCTCTCTCGCTTTTTCTCTCTCAAATAAATAGATAAAATCTTTGGGGAGAAAAAAAAAAAGATTCAACTACCAAAAGGTTGAGGGTGACCTAGTCTTTTCCACAATTTTTCTTTCCAGAACTAATAACAAAAACCACTGGACCCATGTCAAATCTGCTCTATTCATCTCTTTTCAGGCCTTCCTTTGGGATTCTATGTTCTCTCTCAGTTGGAACAAACCCATTTTAAATTTATTTTAAAAACAAAAGAGTAAAAGGACACCATGGTCCATAGTAGAAGTCTCAGTGATGCAATATTTCTATCCCAATTGTTCTGTCTGGTGGGCCAGTTTCCTGAGGTGACATGGACTTATTGCAAGGAATTCCCAAATCAAAATGTAATGGTAGCATTCTCTCTAGACTGCATAAATATTATATGTTGTTGATTAGGCTATTTCAACATCAGAAATGTGAAAGTATCAATCAATATGGCACTAATAAAATGTAGTGTCTTTATTACCAAGCATAATGTGCCACGGATACACTTCAACTGTATCACACCCTCAGCACCACCACCACTCTGCTGTCAATCTGTTTATCTCTCTTGTTCATGATTCTTATCAATGTCTAACCTATCCTTGAACCCCATAATAACCCATCTCTAAGCTTCACCTCATTCCTCATTCCACAAGGCTTAGAAATGGAGTAAATCTTGGTAACAGGTTGAGTCTTCAGAATAATAGTGTTTGTTCAAAATTTTGATATTTTTAAAGTTCATTTAGGAAAACTGAAAGTATCTTAGAAAATGAATCAAAATGATTATATCAAAATATCATATGCCTACTCTTGCTCTTTTTGTGCCAACTATTTTCAAATATACATGAAAACAAAAGGAATAAATTTCTGATTCATGCTATATGAATGAACCCTGAAAACATTATGCTAAGTGAAATAAGCCAGACAGAGAAGAACATACAGTGTATAATTCCATGTGTGTATCCAGAATAGACAAGTTCACAGAGCCAGAGAGTATATTAGAGGTTACCAGCATCTAGAAGAAGGGATGAATGGTGAGTTATTGCTTAATGCATACAGAATTTCTGTTTGGGGTGATGAGAAATTTCAGAAATAGGTAGTGGTGATGATTGTACAGCATTGTGAATGGAATTAATGCCACAGAGTTGTATACTTAAAAATGGTTAAAATAGCATATTTCATGGTGTATCTACTACAATAGAAAATAGTAAAAGAAAACTATTAGTAAGAATTCAGTTTGAAGAATTCTAGATTCCTAATAATACTCCCTTTACATTTTCTCAATTAATAGAATAAAAGTACAAATATTATAATGTTTGATACCTGAATTTTTAAAAATCAAAATAGATTCTTCCTGTTTTATTTCCTGATGAAAATAGGAACATATTTTTACCTAATATGGCTGTACTGAAGGCTAATTTTTTTAGTCATATTGTCTTTTTTAGTTTTAGTACCAGGGTAATTTGGGCCTCACAGATTGAGTTGGCAAGTATTCCCTCCCTTCTGTTAAATTTTCTGGAGTAGTTAATGTAAAATTCATATTATTTCTTCTTTAAATGTTTGGTGGAATTCACCAGTGAAACCATCTGGGACTGAAGTTTTCTTTGTAGAAAGGTTTGTAATTATAAAATTCAATTTTTAAAAAATAATTATAGGGCTATTCAGATTATCTATTTCTTCTTGAGTGAGCTTTGGTAGTTTATGTCTTTCAAGAAATTGGTCCTTTTATCTAAGTTTTCAAATTTATAGGCATAAAGTTATTATAATATTAACTTATACTAGAATCTACAGTGATGTGAAACCTCTATTTCTTGACATGAGTAATTTGTACCTTATCTATTCTTTTATCAGTCTATATCAAGGTCTTTGAACTTTTAACTTGTGTGTTTGTATATAAAATGAGCTTTTAGGCAACAGATAGCTTGATCTTGATGTTTTATTCAATCAGGCAATATTTGCCTTTATTATTATTATTTTTTAAGATTTTCTTTATTTGAGAGAGTGTGCATGTGCTCCAGCAGGGGAAGGGGCAGAGGGAGAGAGAAAGAGAGGCAGACTTCCCTAAGTGTAGAGCCCAAGACAGAGCTTGATTCCATGACCCTGAGATCACAACCCCAGCCGAAATCAAGAGTGGGATGCTTAACTGACTGAGCCATCCAGGCACCCCAGACAATATTTGCCTTT